CCATCTGTGTGCTCACAGCATAGATACCCGTCTCGTCGATGATCCTACGTAGCATCTTACTGGTCTGCTTACGATTACATCCTGAGCCGATGCAGAGGAGGGGCCGCTTGGCAGCATGGATGAGAGCGACTGCTTTAGCAATGGCCTTTGCATCAGGGACTGGTCGACGTACTTCCCCAATTGGGAAAAGGTACTCATTGGGACCCAGGGTATGCCCGGCAATATCCTCAGGAAGTTCAATATGAACTGGACCAGGCTTCTCCTCCAATGCCTCCCGGACAGACTCTCGAATAAGCGAGGGAATAGCATCTGACAATGATTGATAAAAGCAGTTCTCATTACCCCAACATCCATTCTACCTGCATCGGGGACCTGGTTTGTCGATTTGGTTATAGGTCGGAAATGATCAACAATATCCACGATTTGGAACTGTCCCTGTTTGGAATGCCTGATTGGCTTCTGTCCAGTTAGGACCAACATAGGCATACCACCAAGCTTAGCATATGCAACAGCAGTTGAGAAATTAGTAGCACCAGGTCCTAGTGTCGACAAGCAGACGCCAGGCTGACCAGTAAGCCGGCCAACAGTAGCTGCCATAAAACCAGCTGCTTGCTCGTGTCTCGTGAGGATGAGCTTGATCCGACCCTCTTGTTCAGCCACACGAATCGACTCTAGGAAATCTAGATTCTCCTCACCAGGGATACCAAAGATATATTTAACTCCCTCTGCCTCTAGACATCGAACTAAAGCATCGGTACCTAGGAGACACCATATACTTAGCGCAGCGCACACTTTGTACATTTCATATTGCCCAAGCATGGGGCATTGGTAACCATATCATCGAGTGACATACCCGGTGTATACTCCATAGAGTCCATCACCTCGTTGCAGACTTCTGTTGTATATGCATCCATGTTAGTTTGACAAAACAGCTTAAATCAGTATATACCCACGCAACTCATCACACACGTAGTAGACGACGCTAACGCATCGTTCAATCTCGCTCGCCCAAAACACAAAACTTTTTCTACCACTCGACAAGAACATCCAACATGGTAGACGCTGTTTCCAAAAAAACATGGTAGACGAGCAGACTGCGGCAA